GATTCAGGTCCCTCAGCCTCTCCTCATAGGCCTGGCCACGGAGGTCCTCAACCATAGGAGTGGCCTTTCTCTGGACCCTCTCCAGGTTCTCCACATCCTTTTTGAAGTGCGGCGCCCAGAACTGGACACGGTACTCCAGCTGCGGCCTGACCAGTGCCACATAGAGGGGGACCTCTCTGGTCCTGTTAGTGATGCCCCTGTTGATGTATGACAGGGTGCGGTTGGTTCTGCCTATTGCTTTATCGCATTGGCGACTCATATTCATCCTGGAGTCAATCATGACTCCAAGATCCCTCTCTGCCTCTGTGCTGCTGAGAGGGTCAGCCCGTAACCTATAGCCATAATGCTGGTTCCCTCTCCCCAGGTGCAGCACCCTGCACTTGTCCTTGTTGAACCACATCCTGTTCAGATCTGCCCACTTCTCTAACCTATCCAGGTCTGCCTGGATGCAGTCCCTGCCTGCCGGTGTATTCACTTTACCCCACAGCTTGGTGTCATCAGTGAACTTGAACAGGGTGCTCTCCACACCCTCGTCCAGGTCGCTAATGAAGATGTTGAACAGCACTGGCCCGAGGACCGAGCCCTGGGGGACTCCGCTGCCTACACCCTCCCAGGTCAACATCAACCGGTCCACCACCACCCTCTGAGTTCACCCCTGGAGCCAGTTTGTCACCCATGTGACCGTGCATTCGTCAATGCCGCAGCTTGCCCACCAGAATTGGGTGCGACACTGTGTCGAAGACCTTTTGGAAGTCCAAGAAGATGACATCGACTTCCTCCTTCCCATCTAAGCTCTTTGTTACCTGGTCATAGAAAGAGACCAGGTTAGTCAAGCAGGATCAGCCTTGCACAAACCCATGCTGGTTACCCCTCAACATCACTTCAGCAGTTTCCATCTTATTTCAATGGTTACTGTAAACTCTTTCAACCCACAAAGAATTTTCTAATTTTTCTGTAAAAGGTTTGTAATCCTCAAGGAAATCACTGACAGTAATAGTCTAAAAATGGAAAAATAAACCTGTCACAATAAGAACAATTTCCATATCTTAAAAATGCACATAACTGCATAGACAAACACATAGGATGCCTCTACATATGCTATTAAAGCAATGCAATAAACTCCAAAGCAGTTCATATCAGAGTTAACTGCTCCCGGGTGCAGTGTCTGCAAGTGTGCCTGGGGCTGCAGCAATTAGAGCCACAGCAGAGCAGACCAAGGCTGGCAGGGGACACGGGAGGTCAGCCCTGAGCTTTGGGTAGTGGCATCAGGTGGCATAACAGGTGGGAGGAGCTGCAGGTATGGTTGCTGGCTGGTTGGGTTGACAAGGCACAACTTGTGCTCAGCAATCACCATCCACATGAGTGTTTGATCTCAACTAATTATTCCACTGTAAAATATACTGTCCCTAAGAGGACTATCTTATGTCAGAGTTAATTAATTTACTGTCCCCTAATACCAGCATGTGTAGACAGTGACACTTTATTGCAGAACTAATTGGTCAGCCCCGCAGCAAAGCCCATGTGTAGAAGCATCCACAGATTTCAATTCCACTATACCCTAAATTGTTGGGTTTCAACATACTTTACATCAAGATAATTCACATTAGATTATATTATCACTCCATTCTTTAAAGTACTAGATTTCTGGTGGGGATTCTGAACTAAACCCATATTTCATTCAAGGTAGCGTTGAAGTTCATATACATTTCTATTTTCTTCCAGTCTCTAAAGGCCAGCTGCTACTAGCCTTGACTACTACAGGCTTTGGCCAAGGTGGCACTCCTCTTGAGTGCAGTAGTTGTTTAGTGTATTGTCAGGTGCAGGTTTGGTAGCTCATGCTGAATTCCTCTATTTATTCTTATGAAATACAGCAACTGAATGACTGAAGAAGCTATAAATAACCTATAGACAACCTATAAACAATGACACTGAGGGATAAGGCTAGAGTGACAGTTTTAGATTTGATATTGATTACAGAGCATCGTCAGTAGCCTGGTGCAGGTCTTCAATGCAATAATAAATAGGACATTCCTCCATGATGTGTGTTATAGTTTGGATTTTGCTACACTCACACTTGGGGTCTTTAATAAAATTCTGTTTATGCAGTAGGCAGTTATATCTACCTTATCCAGTATAAACCCTGTTTAATGTTGTCCAGCTCTGCCTTGGTAGAACAAAGCCAGGGAGTTTAGATGAGAAATTGTGAGGTCTGTGATGAGAAATGTACTAATGATGTCAATTGTGTTCTATTTCTGGATCCATTTTTTCTTCATGTTTGCATCCCTATTGATAGCTTTAGCTGGTCTCTTCTTTTTTCTTTTTTTTTTTTGTTGAACACTGGCTATTTAACAAAACAAAGCTTTGTGAGGGACATATTATTTCCATCAATATTTTTTCAGGGTTTTTAATAATAAAAGACTTGTTTTTTATTCCCCTTTTTACTAATTTTTTCTACCCTTTTCTATTTTATATTTTGCCACTGAACTGAATAAAGGATGAGTCACAAATAGGGAGGAGGAATGAAAATGGAAAGGAAAAATGTGGCAGATTTCAGTGTCTCATAGAAAATTTGAAACATCTAAGGGAAAAAATATTATTTCCTTTAAAATGTTTTGTGCAATATACAAGTGGCTCTACTATTGTATTTTATGTTAGCAACAGACCACTGACAACAGATCATTTTTATTGGGTGGACTTTAGTTCCTTTTTTGTGTTTGTGTGTGCAGGTATCACCACAGTATTGACCATGACAACTTTGAGTACCATTGCAAGAAAGTCTTTACCTCGTGTCTCCTATGTCACAGCCATGGATCTTTTTGTGACTGTGTGCTTTTTATTTGTCTTTGCTGCTCTGATGGAGTATGCAACCCTCAATTACTACTCAAGCTGCAAAAAGCCAACCTGTACCAAGAAGAAAAAGTCGGTAAGATGTGATCATTTCAGATTTTTAATTAATTGTATGGAAAGTAGGCAGAAAATTATTCTTCCTCTGTCTACAGAAAGTTGAGTAACTTTTGGGCTATGGAGGTGTGGCACAGGTATCTGGAATTGAAGGGGAGGAATGTAATAGGAGACAGAAGTGATCTTGGGGTATATCATAAGGTCAGTCCAATAAAAAAAAATTGAGTTGCAGTAGGGATGAACACAGTAAGAAAATACAAATGTGGGAAGCCTGCATAAAGTGAGTAGACTGCAGAAAATGAATTTGTGGTCTGTTTGTATAAAAAAGAAAATTAGAGGTAGATGTATTCTTGATCAATATCTTTAAGACAAAGGAGAGAGAGGTGGCGTGAAGAGCCTGAATGGGGATGTTGCTTGGAGATGGCATGGAAGTGAGCATGTGTCTGTAGGCAGATAAGATACCCAAATTTAAGAATTAATTCATGAATAGCAGAACCATGTGAAACTAATTTAATTGTACAATATGTAGTGTGTCACTTGCCACAGCTAAACAATCCATTTACCTGGGACTTATTTTAACCCAAAGTGACAAGCAACCAACACTTTGCTCTTCAATTAACAACCCATAGAATACATTCTTTCTGCCTCCCTCTGGTATAGAATTTGCACTACTTAAAAGGGACACATTTAAATCATGAGGAAACTGCAAGTGTGAAGGCACTGCTTTGTGGGGGATTCTTTTTGTTTGTTTGTTTTGTGAAAAAGAAAAAAAGAGGGCGTAAATATGTAAAACTTGTGGTGCTCTGGTGTGGTGCCAGAGGACTGGAAGAGGGCCAACGTGGTTCCCATCTTCAAAAAAGGGAGGAAGGAAGACCCGGGAATCTATAGGCCAGTTAGTCTTACCTCGATCCTGGGTAAGCTTTTTGAGAGAATTATCCTGGCACATGTCCACGAGGGGCCAGCAGGGGAGATTATGCTTAGGGGAAAGCAAAACAGGTTCATTAGAGACGGGTGTGACTAGAAATAACAGTCACAAGCTGGCAGAGGTTAGGTTCAGACTAGACATCAGGAGGTGCTACTTCACAGTCAGGGTGGCTAGGATCTGGAACCAACTTCCAAGAGAAGGGGTGCTGACTCCTACCCTGGGGGTCTTTAAGAGGAGGTTAGGTGAACACCTTGCTGGAGTCATTTGACCCCAGTACTCTTTCCTGCCATGGCAGGGGGTCAGACTTGATGATATGCTCAGGTCCCTTCTGACCCTACCAACTATGAAACTATGAAATATGGGAAAAGATAGGATTTGGGAAATAACAGGCTATGGTGGGGCACAGCTGGGGTGTTCACCATGCAACTTGGACTGCAGCTGGCTAGGAAAGAGACAGCAGTGAGGGCAGCTGGGAAAATATCCTGAGGATTTTTTTTTTAAAGGAGAAGGTGTGTGGTGGAGCACCAGTGGGGTGCCCGCCACTCTGGGGAGTGAGAGAGGCCTCAACGAGTGGGAGGCGGTGCCAGTGCAGTCCGTAATAGGGCAGAATGCGAGAGGCCTAACACTGTTCTGAGCTGGGCCCAGACTCAGGCCAGAGCAGAGCATAGGTGTTAGGAATATCTGTGAGGCTAGGGATACAGTACAGAGGTGGCTGGAGCTGCATACATAGGCCCAGAAGAACAGGGCATCATTCAAAGAGCAGCCTTCCACCTAAGTAAGACCCTAATCATTTAACAATAAGGCATGGCAGGAGAGAGAGATGGGTAGCATGCCCACAGGCAGGTGGAAGACTAGCACTGTGGCTGGTCGGTGAGCTCCCAATTTGCCACACAGGCCATGAGTGAGTGAAAAGCAAATAGATTAATGAAGCAATAAAGGAGCATATAAAATAAAAATAGAATCAGGGAGGGCTCAGATATCCATAAGTTTATTTTAAAAATCTATTAAACATATGTAATGGGTTTTTGTAAATGTGCACTCCAGTGAAAGATATAACAGGAAGAATTCCTCCAAAAGGAATTCCAAAGCATGATAAAAAGTGGCCATTGGGCAAACAAAAATGGCAGTGGATGATGAGGATGGATGAGTATAGAGAATGACAATTATGAAATGGTTATATTTTAAGGCATACAAATCTAGATGAGGGTGTGATGCAACCCTGATGAGATGAAAATGTGACAACTTAAGTAGGATGAGAATAAAAGCTTTGCTATTTTCTACTAAATATATTAACTTAATTAGGTGATGATAGGATTGTGGAATAAAAAATATCAGTATTAAACTTATGTGTGATTTTCCTACTTTTTAATGTGTATTTTAAGAAATGTTATTAAACCTGGACGACTATAAAGCAAATGTTTTATTCTTCTAAATAATTCTCTTGTTTTATTTAAGCTACCTGATGTCAGTTTTGGTCATATGATGGTAAGTACACCATTTTTATTCAAGGACAGTAAAAGAAGAATGTCAAATTGCTGACACCCACTTCAAAATATCCATGGAGGAAGCTTTAATGTCATGTCATGCTGTACCTGATCTAACTGTGAATGTTTTTCTTTTTTGTTAAAAGGTCAGTTTGTTTTGGGCAATAGAAGCGGAACAACAGAGCTGCCTCTTGCTATATATTCTTGCCACGTGATGTGGGGTGATCAAATCTGGCATCTTTGGTTGTGTCTTATTCTTAGCCAAAACATTTTGCATATCTGCTTTATAAAAAGAATATAGAAATAGATATTAAAAAATCATAAACACATTTAATGGATTTAAAATTCTCAAAAACTAAGAAATAATTAGTTTTAAAAAGTTAACTCATTTTCATTGTACATAATAAAATATCTGTACAAGTTTTAAACTATTCTTTGGACAGTGAAGGCAAACAATTTTCAAGCACACCTTAATGCTGTTTCATTCCCAAATTGGGTGATTGCTTCCAGTTAGTTATTTCTAAATGCAAAATTGTGGTAGGTGGGTGCTGAATTACACACACACTTTTATAGATAAACAGTGTGGAAATCTTACATGGTTGAATATTCTGATTTATATGTGACAGATACAGCTAAATATATTGAAAAGAATAAAACCTAGACTTTTTCATATCTTGAGGTTTGGGCTGTTTAAGTTTCTAATTTAACATAGATAATTTTTAACATTAGCTTTTAAAATTGAATAACCTTTTCTTGAAGAAAAGAGAGCAGGGAAAGTAATGCCCTTTCTAATGTGACTATTTAAAAATTCTGAGTTTGAAATTTACACCTTTGAGATTGTAACAGGGCCCCGACTGAGACCCTGTTACTAAAGGGACATGGACAGCTGAGGACAATTACAATTTGGGAGGTGGGCCCCGCCCACGGAGAACCAATGAGGCCCGGACCCGAAGGATAAGAGGGAGAGAAGGTGAAGGAGAAATTGCCTTCGGGTACAAGAGAACAAGGTCAGGGTTAATCGAGAACCCAGGAGAAGAAAAGAAGTGAAAAGGATTCCGACCTGTGATACCGCAGAGAGCCGTGAGGTTGGGACTCCAGAAGACAGGTCAGACGTGAGACAGATGACTGACCGGGTAATTAGACTGCATTTTGGTGAGTGTGGGGAGAAGCGGAGCCACACCATGGGCTGGAGCCGCAGCCGGCATTAAGGATCGGGGAGGCTACGTCAATCTGAAAGGGCAGCGGGAGGTACGACCCCTGCCCAGACCCCTAAAGAGTCCAGGTGAAGCCAGAACTGCCCCCCCCCAAGTACAGAAAGACACCGAGGGTCCAGAGGGCAAGCCCCGACCATGGGAGAGCCGCAGAGCCTGCACGCCAGCTGCCAGGGAAAGACACAGGCGGCAGCTGTAACGGGCCACTAATGAGATAAGTAGTGGTGGATACCAGGACTTTGCGCGGTACTTAGTGGACTGGGACCAGCCAGGAGACTTGGGGAGGGATCCCCGAGATTGGACTGTCGGACTGCTTCCTCCTCCAAAGGGGGTTCCTGTAAATAGTAGAAAGAAAAGAGCTGAATAAAAGCACCTGCATTATACCTGATCCAGACTGGTACTTCCCACGGGTACTCCCTCAAATAACACCCCCTTTCTCCCTATTTCTATTAAGATCCAAGTCGTGGCAGGCGAGAATCAAGAGGCTTGGGTGGGGGATACTCTGCGCGGACCCACTGACAAAGTGGTGCATTGGCCGGGAACCCGGGTGGTTGGGCAGACGCTATGATACACAGGTACCCACAGACTGGCAGCAGGTGTACAGCCTCACGCTGAGACTTCTCCAGGGTCAGCAGGCTCAATTGGACGAGATGGTGAGAATGCGGAACAAGGAGACCCAGCTGTGGGCCCGTCAAAAGGATCTTTATGAACAGATCGCAGCCCAACAGATCTCCATGATAAGAGAAGGGGGTGGGCAAGGACTGCCCCAAGATGATGAGGGAAGATGATGTCAAGGCCTACTTAGAGGCATTTGAACAGGCAGCAATGGTTGCAAAATGGGACCCGGTGAGTTGGCTGTTAAGTTGGGGCCACTCCTCATTGGCCTGGCCCAGGCCGCCTACCAGGCCTTCAGTAGGACCAAGGCCCGGGACTATACGAAGGTGAAATCTGCAATCCTGTATCAATTAGAAATTTCACCAGACACATACCGGCACAAATTCCGGGCCAGAAAGGGACCTGAAGGGGGCCAGCCTCGACTGTTAGTCCAGACACTTTGAGACCTAGTGGATCGATGGTTAAGGCCAGAGGAGCATACTTCTCTGGAGACAATAGACAGGACAGTGCTGGAACAATTTTTAATGGATCTCATGGGTAGTGCCCAGAGGTGGGTCCGGTGCCATCAACCTAAGACAGTGGAAGAAGCCCTCCACCTAGCAGAAGATTATGCTGCAGCAGAGGGGGAAGGAGAAACACCCAAGAGAGAGAAAAGCGGCGGGCCAACTTCTGCCCCCCAGCTGAACACCACTGCCCCTCCTAGGCAAGAAGAGGTCATACGAAGGGAGGTACACACAGAGGGCTACCCCAAGGTGAGATGTTACCAGTGTGGGGAGAAAGACCACATTTCCCGGTTTTATCCTAGTGCAGTCCCTGATCTCAGTCCTAGAATGGAAAGGCATGACGAGAAAATGGACTGCAGTTTTGGCCGGCATAGAGGCCCTGATCAGAAGAGCAAGCCAGTAGTGGAGGTCCAAGTAGGTAACACAATTATACTGGCTGTAGTAGATACAGGATGCTCCCAATTTATGGTATGCAGTGATTTGTTGCCTCCACATCTAGGGAGCCCCAGCACCCCAGTCTCCATGATATGTATGCACGGCGCGGTCTACACCTACCCACGAAGAAAGCTGGACCTCTCGGTACTAGGACAGGTGGAAGAGATACGGGTTGGGATAGCCAAAACCTTGCCCTGTCCGATGCTGCTGGGGTTGGATTGGCCGCACCTGGGGGAGCTAGTTCACCAATGGATGCCAGACATACCTGAGGAGGGTGAAGGGAGAGCCCAGACCCTCTACTTCACGGATGCGGAAGAAAGTTTGAACATTGACTGGATGATGGAAGAAGGAAGATTTTGCCAAGAACAACGATGAGAGAGCCCTTGTTCCAGAATTTATGGAAATCCTGGCTTGAAGAGCCGGAGGAAATGACTGGGACTGCCTCGAGACCCCCTCGAGCCCCGTGTTACGAGGTAAGAAGGGGTCTACTTTACTGGGTAGAAGACCTAGAGGAGGGAGGAGAGAAAGCCCAGGTCCTTGTGCCCCAGAGATACTGGGAGGGCTTGTTATGGATCGCCCATATCCTGCCTATGGGAGGACACCTAGGGCGTGATAAGACAGAGGCCAGACTCATACAAAAAGTCTTTTGGCCTGGCATATATAAAATGACAGAAAGATTCTGTGCTGAATGTCCAGAATGCCAGAAGATGGGTGGGGGTAAAATCAGCAAGAGTTCCTTTAGTACCCATGCCCCTGATCGAGTGTCCATTTGACCGTATCACCTTGGACATAGCTGGGCCCTTCCTGTGTAGCAGGGCAGGATACCAATTTATCCTGGTGATTATAAATTATGCCACTCGGTAATTTATGTTCACAAAAACATTGAAACAACTCTGATCATTTCTGGGGTTTGCCAATTATTATTGGTGGTTCATCTCTAACTTTTCAGAAAAGGCAGCCCCGCTGACGGAACTGACAAAGGGATGCCGCAGCCCAATCTCCTGGAACTGAGAAACCCCACAGGCCTTTGATCAGTTGAAGGATGCATTATGTCAATACCCAGCCCTGTATACGCCAGACTTTCAGAAACCTTTTTTCCTACAAACCTATGTGTCGGCAGTTGCATTAGGCGCCATATTATTTCAAACAGAACAGGAGGCCAAAAGACCAGTGGCGTTTGCTAATAGAAAACTTAAGCCCACTGAGGCCCATTATTCTACCATAGAAAAAGAATGTCTGGCAATACGATGGGGCATAGAACTCTTTCAATACTACCTATTAGGCAGGAAGTTCATGCTTATCACGAACCACACACCCCTCCGGTGGCTAAGTACAGCAAAATTAAATAACGCTAGACTTATGAGATGGTCTCTAGCATTACAACCTTTCTGTTTTGCAGTGGAACATCGAACGGGATGGAGAAGTGGAAACGTAGATTTCTTATCCTGCCTGGGAGACATCCCTATCTAAGACACAATATACAGGAAAAGGGATACACCAGAAAGTTAAGGATCTTATCACGTGAGCAAGAATGGTCAAAGAGAAGTTCTGGCCCTTTCTTTGTTTTTTTTTTCTTTT